CTATCTGATGACTTATCACCAGAAACTTGAGTAACAGAGCTCTCATAGAAGGAATCTGAAACTTGAGAAGCCAGTATCTGTTTGTTATAAATGGCTAGTGGTAGTAGCAGCAGCCCTTGCAGAGAAGTTCTGCAGCAATGGACAATCTTAGGATCCCCTTTTGGGACCAGAATGAGGAAGGTTTACCGAACAGCATAAAGAACTGAACCCCATTGCTTCTTTGCAATTCTTTACTTTGTTATTTTGTAACATTTATTTATCTTTTAACTAGTATTTGGGACTGTTTTGTAGTAAAGCTTTGAAACTCATTATTGTGGTGGAAATAATTCATGTCTAAACAAGGTCCAGATCAGGGACTCCACTAAACAAATCTTAACGTTCATTGCTCAATGCATTCATTTCTGAATGAATGAAAATTGCACTGAATGGATCCCATTTATTTCAGTTTTTCATTTCTTCAAAAATGAATGAACAAGCCCATCAGATGTCACAGTCCACAAACCCCTTAATATGTTTCGTGCATCTGAGAGACACTGTCAATATGATAGCTCTTCACAAGATCACTATTGTGAAAACAACACCAGAGTGCCATTTTTGACACTGTCCCCATTACTATAACTGGTATAATCCAGACAAGAAGCCCATCTGTAGTATTAGGCATCATTGCAGAATCCCTATGACATTATAGGGATGTTTCATAAATTAACTAGACATTTTTCATTTCATTTTTAAAAATTCTTATGCTCCCTATTGTTGTAAAATTGCTAAGTGGTATACAAGAAATATTAAAATTATAAAAAATTAGAATAACTAAAACATGTAAATATAAAAAAAAATAACAGTGAAAGAGATTAAAACATATCTACATCTAAATGTGGGGCACAAACACACAAGGAAATCACTGAGATTAAGCTTTTTCAGTTGGGCTCCCCTGAATTTCCATCCTACATTAACCCACCAAATCAAGCCATGTCTTCCTTCAGAGGGAGATGGAATAGTTTTTGCTATATGCATCCATTTAGTATTTAGATTTATAAAAAGCTTTTTTCTAATTCTGATTATTATTAATAATATTGGTATAATTAGTACCATTGAGAAAATCAGGATGAAAACAACTAAAGATGGATTGGAATTGAAGGTATTTGAAATCTAGATATGGATTGGACAACCTTTTTCTTGTGAAGGCTGCATTCTGGAAGTAAGGGTAAGGAGAAATCAGTCAGGGGTTGCCTACCAGCAGTAGATGGGGCTGTAGTCAAAAGAACCCAGAGCAGAAAGTGGGTTGGGTGAATCCAATGTTGCCATGGGACCACACCCTTTTCTCTCTCTTTCTGCCGTGCCTTTCCTCCTTGTCTCTCTTTATGCTACTCCGTTTTTCCCTGTTCATGCCATCCTTTCCATCTCTCTACTATTTCTGTTTATTCTTTTGCCTCTTTGCCACCTACATGAAATTAAACAAAGGGCCACATGTGGCTTTGCCCCAACATAAAAATCAACTTGGAAGAAAGAAAACAACGAGGCATTAGCTCTCTGTTTATCTATTTGTCCTATTAACAGGAACCATTCTGGTCACTCAAGCAAATAGTTGATTTCTTAACAGATAATTAAATACCTCCTGAACAGGATAAGCTTGTGGTCAAGAGAGAGCTATTAAAAAGGAGATTAGAGGCCATGAAACAAAATAAAATGGAAACTCCACTTTTATGAATTGTCATTAGTTTGACATAGAAAGATGCTAGTAATTGTTCTTGACATTATGGTCCTTTGAGTCAGGAAAGCACCACAGTTTTTGCTGTGAAACAAGGTGATGGAACGTTCTATTGTTTCACAGGGATTGCATGTTTATACTTTAGATGGGCACAAGGCCTGTGGAGGAATTTTCCTGCAGTACTCCCAGGGTGCCTGCTATTCCTTTAGCTTGAGAACAGCTGCTATATTTTACAAGACTGCTAATTTGACCTTATGGAGAGTTTGCAGGGTTTCTTTGTTAGCAGAAATGCTTATTACTTGTAGGACACAAATACTCTCATTAGAAGTATCCTGTGATCCTTGCTGGGCTTTTTACAAAAAGGCCTTTAGCTGTAGGAACTGGAGGAAGCTCTATGGGCCAAATGAGATTGTGAATGTGATGAACAGGGCAGGGGCGGGGGCTGTCTGAAACCCTAAAGATCTGCTTCCAGTCAGAATACACAATACTGAGCTAGGTGACTAGGTGAGCTAGTCTGACTTGGCATAGTTATTATAATTTATTTATTATTATATGCTCCAAAGTGGCTTAAAAGAAACATTAAACTACTTCAAAACATAAACATTATCAACATCTAAAATGTCATTGGAGTCATTCCTAGGCAGCTGGTGGTGGAATTGGCCTGCGGGAGGTAGAAGTACAGTTTGAGGTCATCTACTTCCCTTCCTCTGCTGAATGCTCGGTGGTAGTTCACCTATATATATCCAGTCTTGTCTTGTCCTAACACACACAGTTTATCTGTCTGTCTACCATTATTTCTTTCTGCTGTAGACTTGGATAAATTCTCAGTCAGAAAAGGATGACACACGGGTATTCATTGCACTCTCTCCAGAGACACCAGGGAACGTGGCATGGATAAAAAGTTTTATAAAACATATTGGGGAGTAACATGCTTTCCATTTTGCCTCCTCAAGTGGGAAAAAGAAATTTATATTTGGTAAGAAGCCACTCAGACCTGTCTCTGTTTTCCTGTTGTAGAAAGAGCAACGTCAGTCTTGCAGATCTCCATTCAAAGGATTCAATCAGTTCACTTGCTGTGAATGTATAAGGAAAACACAGACACAGAAATTTGTATTTTAGAGGGATACCATTATAACTGAGGAGCAAGAACAAGAAAACTAAATCAAGTGAAGTCTGAGTCGAAGGCACTTCATTAGCTCTCTTCAACGTGGACAGATCCATAGGAAATCCTTTAGGGACAGACCGGATAAAATGATACCTGCCTGCCACGGACAGTATTGTATTTCTGCAAAACCATGGTCTTTCAGGGATAGGTAAGTGTGAAGGGAAAATATATTCTCTATTAAAGATTCCCGCAGTCCTGGTAGTCTACCCTCCATCTCTACCTCTAGAGTGCAGTTACTCTTGTGAGCTGCCAAGTATTGTCGGTATCTGGCATCTTCCAATCTTGTAAGGACATGTTTCACACAGACAGGTATAATTTTCCCCGTGTATATTTTAATAGCATGATGATGAACATTTAAACAGCACCATGATAAGGGGGAAGGACACTATTTGGGGGATCTATGGGACAGTCTCAATAGCCACCGAGTTGCTGTTGCCTAAATGTACATGTTCTCTATTTGCAGTAGTACATCCTCATTTGGATGTTTCTGAGTGGCCCCTGTACATACTTTTCCAGCATGTACTTGTAGCACATACCAAATAAAAACATGCAAGGAGGGATATGATCTTTAAAGTAAACCTTGCAGTTTCTGGGAAGTTAGTTGTGTGACATCTACCAAAACTATTCTGAAGCAGCACAAAGAATGATCCTGCAAGAAGTTTTCAAGGACATTTCACTTGCTGCTTTTTAAGAAAAAGAATGAAAATCCCAGCTACTATTAAAGATCACCTGTTTGTGGGAGGTTTCTGAGAGACCACAAGAGGAGAAATTGATTTGGGAGTCCTAGAAAATCATTTTAGTGTCTCCCCGAGTGCACCAAAGCTGCCGTCTGTCTGAGAAGAAAATATGAGCAAAGATTACATACATAGAGATGGAGTAGGTGGAAAAGGCTTAATCAAATCATGAGAACACTTTTCTTGAAAGAATGGCAGAAGTATAAATTTAATGGTGTGGGAAGATTGTTCACCCTAGTAAGAGGTGTCTCCCGCAAGCAATAATGCTGGATTTAAGATTCCTTAGTATTCTACTGAACTACTTGCTACCTTTATTCTGTAATGAGGTTCCTGGGGCATTACCATACATAATGTATCAGTGATCTGTGCTCATCCTTCCATTTAGCAGAAGGTATTTTAAAAGCTCATCGCAGGTTGTCTTGTAGCAGTTTAGAGAGCCAGACTTTTTAGAATGTGGGCTGCCCAATTGCCCTCGTGTAAACTGTGCATGTGTTTGCTGTGCATGAAAATGGGTGTTGCAGTTTGAGGGATTGGTTTGAGAAATCATCATTGAACCGTAAAACAAAACAAGGAGAGGGGAGACATGGCTGGGGTTTTCAGCAGAATATGAACGGTTTTCATGGCTCAATTTTTTTATTGAGGGTAGTTAAAATTTGGCACCTACGTCACTGAAGCTAAGATTCATAGGAATTTCATCACTTCTCCTTAGCACAGAGCTTCCAGCCATCTGTGACATCAAAGTCCATAAACCAATGGTATCCAGAGAAGGTGGAAACTCCTAGAAACAGAAACCTAGTTTCCTGTGACTTCAGGATATATCAATCTCTTAATACATTAAGAGATGTGGGGCTGGTGCTTATGTCACATACCCATGTTTGAGGAATGGACCACAATATGAACTTTCTATCAGCCCATGAACTGGATCGTGGTACTAATCAGCTGTTGGGTTGATCACTTGATCCTTGCCCTATGCCAAGTTCTTATTTGTGGCCATTTTAAACTCTTTGACTTTGGTCTACATCTAATTCTTGCTCTCTTGCCCCCAGTTTCTCTTCATTTTTTCTCTCTGCTGCTGTTCCCTGTGTTTCCCTGTAACTTCCTCAATTCTGCCCTTGGTTAATTTGGTCCATTGGATTCTTGAGCGGGTTGTCTTTCTGCACTTCTGCACTTCTGCACTTCAGTCTTGCCATTCCCATGGTTCATTGGCAGGTACAGAACACACAGATGGGATGAGATTTTCAACAGGTGCATTTGATGTTGAATTAACAAATGTCAGGTGGTGTCAAATGATTGATAGGTGGCCAGCCCAGCTGGTATATTGTAAACTCTGGGGAGAGATCATACCTGAGAATATCACATGTCAACACCTTCATAACAATAAAGGTAGATGATTGTTAAAATGGCTCAGTCGGTAGGGCATGAGACTCTTAATATCAGGGTTGTGGGTTTGAGCCTCATGTTACGCAAACGTTTCCTGCACTGCAACAGGTTGGACTTAGATGACCCTCATGTTCCCTTCCAGTGTTACAATTCTATGATTCTAATATGCTTTTTCTTTTATGTTCTATGGTTTTATATTAGAACTCACAAAAACTGGAATTCTAATATCTGCAAAAAGTTTGAAACATAGTCTTAGCTAAGCAGTCATGCAGACACATTATGCAAATCAAACCTTTTGAACTTGCTGGGAGACTGAAGAGGAGTGCTTCACTCTGCGACATTTTGTTGCACATCCACTTGTAGCTCTATCATGGAATTATGGGGAGAATATCTGTTTTGCTGTTGATACTGTAATATTGAATAAATAATCTTAACACATTTTGTGAACTTGCGCATTAGGTTAGCTGAAGAGCAAAGTACCGCTGAAAGCTTACAATTTCAATTACAGAAATATTTATTGCTTGAATAGAGCCAGGCAGGAATATATAATTCGAGCAACCGCCTGTGGAATGTGACCTTACAAAACACAATCTTTCTTTCCTCCTGGTTGTTGTTTTTTTTTAATGAAGAAAAAGCATGCATGGTAAAATGACAGAGCCCATATGGCATGGTTTCAGTAAGATAACGTATTTTCTTTGTTAGCCACGATTATGGATCCTTTAGCCAATGAGAAATCCTTTTTTTCTAATTAGGCCTTGGTAATTGGTCATAAGACATGAATATTCACACCTGAGAGGTTAGATATTGCTGTATGTTAATGTTAGTCCATTTCAGCTGACATTTGGCTCTTTTTGAAGAACGAACAAAGAGACACAGAAATTTCCTGTTAAATCCTAGAAGAGCTGAAAACTGACAATAGAGGTTGAGCAGTCAGCGGATTGCAGGAGGCATAAAAGGCCAGGAGAGATTATTTCCTTTTTTTCTTAAGAGTCCAAAAGGGTGAACATATAAAAGATGTGGGGTCAAGAGCTGTCCATCAAGTTCATATACTAACCAAGAGGAAGAGCTTCCAGGGATTTATTCTTTAAGTTTTTGAAATATCAGTTGTACAGTGAAATACTAAGGATGTTTATTCAGAAGTAAGTTGTGTTTAATTTAACAGGACTTTCTTCCTAATAAGTTGTCATGGATATGAGAGAAAAATATATTCACTTTTATCCCAGAGGTCTTTGCACTCTTACTTAAGCATTCTTTTTGTAGCAGCTTGCATGTACTTGACACTTGTAAGGCTCTTGCTAAGTGAACAGCCTAACTAATCATCTTAACTTAACATTAATGCCTGTCGCTCATAATGTAATACACTAAAGGAAATAGGAAAACATTTCAGGATGTTTGCCTCCTAAAGTAGGTGTTACAATAAGTGCTGATCGGGTGACTGGTATGAACTGGATCCCACTGGGTTTGACTGCATTCTGGAGTTCCTAATGGGGAACTTGAGTGCAGCCTATTCTTGCGAGTAGCAGTGGTTGCAACTGATTGATTGGTGATAACTACAGCCCTGTTAGGTCTGGCTCCAGGGATAGTTCTTTGCAGTCCAAGCCAGTCTGAAAAGGCCTTTTTTCATATGAAGCAACAGCTTGAATTGAAGCCCCCAGGCTGCAGTGGAAGAAAGTGGGGGGGGAGGGGAGATCCTTAGAGCACCTGAAGAGTATTGTGTCACCTAATGTCATGGTGTTGACAGGTGGTTGACAGGTAGGCAGTCCCAGGGCTGCCCACCCATGAGACAAGGTGAGGAGACTTAAGGTAGCAGATTCAGCCTCCAAGGCAGCGGTTCTCAACCTGTGGGTCCCCAGATGTTGTTGGACTACTACTCCCATCATCCCTGAGCTCTGTCCTTGCTAGCTAGGGGTGATGGGAGTTGTAGTTCAACAACATCTGGGGACCCACAGGTTGAGAAAGGCTGCTCCAAGGAATGCATCACCAGTTGTTGCTTCTGCGGTGACAGCAACAGCTGCAGCAGTCTCCTTGGAGGCCAGAACTGCCCCACCCCAAGGCCAATTCTACAGCAACCTCTTAGAAAATAGGGCACATAACTGGTCTCTTCTCACTCGTGTTCCCAATGCAGATCATTATTTCCCCCATGTTCTTGATGTAGATCTTCTCACCTCTTATTCTGTGGTGGAGGGCAGCATTTTGTGGCTCACCTCATATGCCAAAATGTTTTGAGCTGGACTTTGAGCTGGACTTCATATGTCAAAGTGGCCCATAGCAGGTGGGAGAGCTCAGGAACCAGTGTTCTGTCTGGATCCTGTTCCCTGTCTCTGTGACAAGCTGAACCAAGGCTTAGCCCTAAGTAGCAACTGTACCAGAGGAGGAGCAAAATAGCTATTATTTCCTCCTTGGGAACCAACACACTTGCATGGTTTGACTTAGTGTTTCATGTGAACTGGGTCAGCGAAATAGTGACACTTATCCTAGTTCAACATCTGATATTTTATCTACCACTGCTCTTTTAAACACAAGCTAAAATTGATCTATCGTGTGCATATATAGCAACAATAATTTTATATGTGGCCTTCTTTGAGTGCTTCCAATGTACTGTATCTATTAGCAGCTAACACGGGAAGAAGTGCGATAATCCTTAACACATGAAACGTAACAGCTCCAGGAATATAATTTATTCCTGATAGCACCAAATTATTAGCATGATCAAATGATCCGGCATGGACAAAGTTAAACCACTTAATGATCTATTCTTTCCAATGGGAGAGATGTACCGTAAACTTACGACATATGGCTCCTAATGAAATCGATGGGACTCAGAAATGCTTCATTTTGGTTGAATCATACCCTAAGTTGTCAGGAGCAATTTCACAGTTTTGCCTTCTTACCATTCTCATCTCAACCACTGCAGATTATTCCCCTCCCCCCTTTTTGTAATTTGTAATGCTCTTTGCAGTTTCTGATGCAAAAGTGATATATTAGAGCTAGAGTGCCTCATGGATTTTGCAAATTATTGTCTTGCAGTGTGAAGCTTTGACCTTTTCAGCACTCTAATTTCATTTGCTGTCTTGGTTATTTAGACTCTTCTCTCCCATTGTAAAATGAAAGTAACAGATGGGAATGGCTGAGCAGCTGAAACAGCTATTGCTAGGGATGGTGTGGGTGTATGGAATCACAATAATATAAAATACCCCTTCCATATTTCTAAGCAACGAGAAATTCCAGGGGCAATATGGAGACAATTGGGACAAATGGTGGGCATCTTTGGCCATCTTTACTCATAGCCGAGTAAGGTTGTCTTCCATGAACATGGTCTTAACAGTGAGTCTATGATTGTGGAGGCCCATTCTGGATTCACACGTCCTTCCACAGTGGGGACATAAATTTCTGAGCGGCAGTTGATCACAGTGAGGGTTTGCCAAACGTGCATTCCTCTTAGCACGTTTCTCCTTTTCACTCTGAGTTCATGCTTCTTAAAAGTCCACGACACCTTTGGTAAAGGCTGTTCTCCAATTGGAGTGCTCGCAGGTCAGAGTTTCTCAGTTATCAGTTCTTATGTTACATTTTTAAATATTTGTCTTGAGTGCATCTTTAAACCTCTTTTGTTTAACACTGTCACCAGTGTTTCATTTTCCATTCTTGAGTTGGGAATAGAGTTAGAGTTGAGCTGGAAAAGGATAATTAAGCATCCAAACAACATGACCAGTCCAACAAAGTTGATGTTGAAGAAACATTGCTTTGACACTGGTGCTCTTTGCTTCTTCCAGTACACTGACATTAGTTCACCTGTATTCCCAAGTGATGTGTAAAACTTTTTGGAGACACTGTTGATGGAATCTTTCGAGGAGTTGGAGACAGCGTTTATAAGTGGTCCATGTTCCACAAGCATACAGTGAAGTTGGCAGTACAATCACTTTGTACAAACATTTTGGTTTCCCTGCAAATGTCTCGGTCCTCAAACACTCTGCACTTCAACTGGGAGAAAGCTGCACTTGCAGAGCTCAGGCAATGCTGGATTTTAGCATCAGTGCTGGCCCTTGTGGAAAGATATCTGCCCAGGTTTTATATTAGAACTCACAAAACCTGGAATTCTAATATCTGCAAAAATAAAATTCTGCCCAGGTAGGAGAAGTGATTGGCACTTTCCAACGTTACACTATTAAGTTTGATTTGTTGTGCTGCAGAGGGGTTGTTTTGTGCTTGTTGGTGCAGCACTTTGTGTTTTGTTTTGTTTTTGGATGTTGAGCGATAAGCTAAGCTTTCCGTAAAGGTAAAGGTAAAGATACCCTCTGACCGTTTGGTCCAGTCGCGGACAACTCTGGGGTTGCGCGCTCATCTCGCTCTATAGGCCGAGGGAGCTGGTGTTTGTCCTCAGACAACTTCCAGGTCATGTGGCCACCTATTTATCTACTTGCCCTTTGACGGGCTTTCAAACTGCTAGGTGGGCAGGAGCTGGGACCGAACAACGGGATAGTTCATTATTTTGGATGAATCAAAATTTAATCTGTACTCCCATAGGATATCCCATCATGGAACCAAGGAATAAAGGTTTTCAAAGGAAAATGAGGAGCCCAAACCTGAGAACGAATCCTGGACTTTTTAAGAAAAACAAGTCTGGTCAGAAATTCATATCCACCCACTTCAAAAATTTCAGCAAAGTATCATAAATATCCATCCATTGATCACAAGACAGTATCTGCTAATCAAAAGCACATTGCAGAACATAAATTTCAGTCATTTTGCCATTTAATCTGACAGTGAGAACTCTTCTTATATTTCTGTCTCTAGGTTCATGATTCCATATGGCCATATGAGCCACAGTTGATGATCCAGGTGGTGTATGGTCTCTGGATCAGGTGGTGTGTAGTCTCTTGCTTAAGATCGGGAGAGTTGCTTGTCTTCAAGAGTGTGGCTGTTTACAGCAGCAGGTAGGGCCAGAGGGACGAAGATCTGGTTGTTATCTAACAGACTATGAACTCCTGAGAAGAGAGTTGTGATTCTTTAACACTCTAAGCCACACTGATACACAAATCTTGTGAATGGAGTCAAACACTCTGGAACAGATCTGAGAAGGGTAGAGAGAGGGA